AATGGTTGGGAGCTGCATTATACTCAAAGAAATTAGTTGACAGGTCAAAATTAAAAGTGGACAGACTTTTCCTTTGCCATACCTGTTTTCCCTCTGTTCCCTTCTGTCTACCCCAGAGGTTGTCAAAGGAGCAGCAGACCACTAATCAATGACCCTAGGTTTCCCTGGCCTCATTGTGATATCGAGAATATTAGGCAGAAATTAGTGACCTTTCTGGAATCAGCATACATTGCATTGACTTGGGGGGGGGGGGGAAGAACCTGTTTCTGAGAAAGGCAGGAAATAGAGCATTTTGAAGCAACTGTGAAAAATCACCAAAAGAGAAAATAAAAGCCCTGCATGGTATAAATTTGCCCAGCTCCAAAGTAGAAACCTGTTTCTCTGCACAAGAATTTAATCCCAGAAACATAGCCTAAGGACAACATTTATTGTGAGGTAATAGCTGAGAAAATTGGAAGCGCTTGACTTCTGCCATGAGGCTCCAGGGACATTATGATTAATACATAATCTCTTATAGCTGTTGTTAAATTATAGTTTAATTTGTTAGTAAGGTTTTATTATTACTTATGAAAAAGCAAAAAAAAAAAAAAAAACAAACTTCAAGACAGAGGAACTCTCTCATTAGTTTTTGTAATTTAAGGTGCCAGTTCGTGAACTATTATAATACTCCATAAAATTTCAATGACTTGAACAAACATAAAAGAATATGCTTGGGTAGCTTTTCCTGTGTGGATATAAATAATGTATTTGGGAAATGCTTATAAAATCCCAAACAGAATGAAAAACATACCTATTTAGCATCAATTGGAAAGCCAGAATATAAACTGAATAAATCAATCAATAAATTTGCTATTATTTTTAAAGGATAAAAGATATTAGCTATTGGTATAGCCCAAATATTTGCTGTTTAGAATGTATCATCTAACATATGACTTTGGGCAAGTTCTACCCAACTTATTGATACTAAATTCTAATCCTGTAAAACGATTTACTGTACTTTTGGTTACATGCAATAACAAGGTTCTATAAAATAAAAATGATTTCTGCTCTATAGCAAAATAGAAACATTGGAAATCATGATAGAAAAATACATTGAATTAAGTCTTTAAACATGTGTTTAAAGTTTTAGTCACTCTTTCTGGATAATGACCAGGCAACCCTATCGGTATAGGTTTTATTTACAATCTTAGAAACTGGAAAGAGAAGTAATTGTTTCCTTCCTGGCTTCATTGCTCAGATATATCTATAGCAACTTTTTGAAACATAACTCAAAAGCTATGTGGACTAAAATTATTTGCAGAAATAAAACTTGGCATTCTTTGAACGTTTCTTTATCAGAGCTAGTTCTTTCCAAATTGGGAATAATAATCAGAAGGTAGAAATAGTATGATAACTTGCAATGAATTCAACAGCCTCAGACCTGCAATGTAACAACTTTTATAGGGTAATATTATATTACCCAATCTATCTTTTTTTTCCTAACTAGTCTAGTTGATTTCCCAGTAGTTCCATGTGTTAATTCTAACTACAGTAACTTAAAACACTAGAGAGTGCTTTTCTGCAATGAAAACTACTGCTAGCTGTAGTTGAACAACTTATCACCTTTGTCAGTTAAAGTACTATTTCCCCTCTGTGTTTTATCCGTATATGTTTATGGACAAATAAAACTACAGTATCAAAACTGCTATCATTAAACATTATCCCACTTTCATGGTTCTTTTCTGGCCACTGAGATTCTGAAAACTATAATAATTATGGAGGTGAAACCAGCTTTCTCATTCAGTTTTAGATGCAGAAAGTCATCTAAACTCATACCAGGAGTGAATGTTAGACTAAGACAGGGGTAGGCAACCTTGGCTCTTTTATGACTTGTGGACTTCAACTTCCAGAATTCTTGAGCCAGCTATGGTTGTGTCCCTCAAGAGTCAATCTCAATACAAAGGTATCTTTTTAGTTTTTATATCATATTTGGTCACCTGAAATTATTGTGTGTATCTTCAGATCTCATACTTCCCAATAATCTTCATTCATAAGCTTCCTCAACAATGCATAAAAGTTTGTAGTTTATTCATGGATTGTACACTAGCAGCCTTGACTCAGTTCCTTAACGTTCTCAAAGCCACTAACTTTTATGGGCCATACTAAGGTAAGCTATGGCAGGGCTTTTCAACCTTTTCACAGATTGTACCATTTTTAGGACATGACAATATTTGAGTGCCACCAGTACTTAGCAAGGTGTCAAAAACATGATGACTGAAAAAAGAGGGGGTTGAGCTTTACTGATTAGATTCATTTGTTGTTATAGAAATGGCTAGTTTATAATATTATGGAAAAGTAAAAAGTTGAGGTTCAGTATTAATGCTTCCTTCCTACTGCAACAGTGGAACTCAGAAGTCAATGCCTTTTCTTTTCTTTTTCCCTTCTCCCCCTCACTTTTCCCCTTTTCTCTCATCCTTCGCTCGCAACCCCCCTCACCCTTTGCTAGCAAAAGCCTCTTGCTTGCTCACATTCACGCACACATTGCTTGCACAAGCTTCTCCCTCACTCTCATTCACACACATATTGTTTACAACAGGGCTTTTCAACCTTTTCACCCATTGTACCACTTTTAGGATATGGCAACATCCGAGTACCATCAGTCGCCTAGCAAGGTGTCAAAAACTTGATGACCCCCCCCAAAAGGAAAAAAGTGATAAAGAACTGGTAGTCCTCGACTTACAACAGTTTGCTTAGTGACAGTTCAAAGTTACAATGGCACCGAAAAAAGTGCCCCCCAAGCCACAGCCGAGCAAGACAGTGCCCGGTGGCACTCTTCCTCCTGTCCAAGGTTTTCATTGTTGTGAGCATTTCTGTTGAAGATTGACACTGGGGGTGGGGTGGGGGGTGTTTGGTTTTTATTCCCCCCGTCTGCTGGGTGGTTGCAGCAGGTTTTGGTCATTTCACATGACCCTGGGACACTGTGACAGTCATAAATATGAATCAGTTGCCAAGCATCTGAATGTAAATCACAAGACCCTGGAGATGCTGCAACATTCCAGCTGATTGGCGCTTCTTCTGGGCTCAGCAGAAGCACCAGGATCAGTGCTGCTTTCCAGCTGATTGGTGCTTCTTCAGGCCTCAGCACCTTCAGGATCAGTGCCGAGCTCCAGCTGGAACCTGGCACTGATCCTGGCGATTCCACTGAGCTCTGACAGCCCCAAGAAGCACCGATCAGCTGGAAAGCGGCATTGATCCTGGTGCTTCCACTGAGCCCTGACAGCCCTGCAGCTCCAGCCATCTCTCGCTCGGGCTTGTGCAGTGCTGCCATCGGTTCAGCTCATTCCCCTCCCCCACTACCACTTTTCTAGGATGGTCGCGTACCACCTGCCAGGTGCCAATGTACCACAGGGGTACCCATACCACTGGTTGAAAAGCCCTGAGCTACGGTGCTAAAAATACCCAAAGAGTTTGCATGAAAATCAGTGCTATACTAAAATCTGCTCATAAGATCTAAGATAGTCTTGGATTTCCCATTGCTTGGCAATACTAGTACAAGTAGATCACTATTATAAAAAAAACTGTAAAAGAAGAATAGCTAATACTGAGTGAAAAGCAGTGTGGGTGAATATGGAGACTGCAGAATGTTTACAAACTGCATCTCAACTGTGTTTGGCCAACTTCAACGCTATATTAGCCAGCTGCTTTTTGCTTATGCAATCTCAACTTATATGGTTAGTTTATGGTGAGCAGGTTGTTCAAAAGCAAAACAACAACAAAAATCTGAGTTGAAGAAAGTGTTCTGTGTGAACATAGACATCTTATACTATGCTCCTTGGAAAAAGTCTCATAGAAATAATAAGACGTCTGAGCAGAGATGTATAAAATAGTGCTGATAAACTGTGGAAAACAAGAGAAAAGTAGAGATGGTAATATACTAACATACAATCCTTGGGCATCAATATATTTGGGCAATATGCAAGTAGACATTGCTTTTTCTCTGGATAGGAGATATCAGTAACACTGCAATCTTACACATGTTCTGTCTAGAAGAAACTTCTGCTGACGAATGGTTTTTAATCCCAGATAAAGTGTTACACGGTTATTCAAAATAAATTTCATTACATGCTATGAGGACTTGTTGACTCCTGAATAAAATCCACAGTATTTATTTAGCGTAGGGCTAAATTTATCATTGACTTATTTTGGAATAATTAAGCACAGAATCACACAGCACTTCCCCATAGTTAATATATGATAAAGCTTTAATCATCTCTCTCACATACAAAAGAAAACTCCTAGAGTAAGAAATTAAGTAAAAATGGAATGGTTTTGCCCCTTTTCCAAAAGTGCAGTTTATATTTCTGTATATGAGTTCCTATGGGAAGCAGTGGGGATACAGGTCAAGCTGTAGAGTTTTATTTAATGCTCACTTTATGGTAACCTTGAGAGTATTTTGAATATTTTATGAAAAGTAGAACATCAGGAGATTTGAGTCTGTGGAACAGATGAAAAAAAAGGTAAAAGTAGTACAGGCAAAACTCATAATAATTAGAAGCGCAAAAATTTGCAAAAGAACTGGGTTAAAAATAAGCAGGTCATTAAGCTAACTAAACACAGAATAAACACTTCAAATTAAAAGGCAGAGAGGAACAATATCTCTCAATCAAGAACAACTTCTTATAATCTTAGTGGCTCCAGGTGTACTGTATGGGAATCTACTGGATCTCAGGCCAGCCTGATAAACCATGGGAAGCAGTGTGATGGATTGTTAAGGTATATAGGGAAACAGAGCGGACATTGCTTCAAGTGCGACTTTGGTGACATGGTGGTGGGTGAAGTTCGCTTAGGGAGCATTTCGGGGACCTGGCAGGCAAATTCCCCCCCCCCCCGCTCCCCCAAGCTGTCATCCCGGCCTTTCCCCACTCATCGCAAACGGCCGGCCAGCCCCTCTTCCCTCGGGCGGTTTAAATGATAAACCCAACGGGTCAGAAAGCCTTATATTGTAACGACATCGCACATACCACGGTGTTTTTCATCATTGCTTTGATGGTGAATCCATCGCTGACCTGCTTCTTGGTTCTTCTTGCGTGTCGCAGCGGCTCCTGCAGCTGCTGGGGTCTAAGTTTGGGGGGGCTTACACCCTCTTTCTCTGCCACCATCTTCACTGCTGGCGGCTGCTGCTATTGATGCACGTGGGATTTGAGGTCGGAATTTTAACAGGAAACTACTTGGGTACGAGAACAGATTTTTTTTTCCTTGCCCAAAAAAAAAAAATCCTAATTTTCGTCCCTTTGCATTTGCTCCCTTCACCCCTTGGTTTAGCCCCTGGGAAGGCTCCTGTGTGGCTTCGAGGAAGAGGAGGAGGGGAAGGGGGGGAATATATGCCTGTTTCTAACACCAACTCGCTTCTAGGGAATCGGTTGCTGGGCAACGTATCAACAATCTGCCGCGGGAGCACCAGCATTCCACCCTTGTCGGAAACCGCGGTACCGCTGAGTGGACTCGATTTACATACGCATGCGCAATCGGCGTAACTGAAGTCACTCGACTCCGTGAAGTCACAAAGTATAGTAGCTGAATTATTTTGCCCTCAGTTTACAGAATTGAGAGGATAGCAGCGTAGCAGGGTTCAGACAGGCGTTAAAATACGTGGAAGGCAGGATGGACGCTCGGTCGCTTTTATTAGTCTTGTGGCCCTCTCTAACCTTTAACTTTCCTATGTATGGTTTTGTTCTGAAAACCAAAAGTAGTTCTGAATCAGAAAATGTGAGCGCCACTGGTTCCATGAGGAAAAGTTACCTAGTTCAGAAAGCAGAGCAAATTAGAGCGATTAATTGACTATCCCCATATATACTAGCCTGACATTTGGAACTTTTGGTCAAAGTATATTTTATGTAGAATTTTCGAAAATGAAGGGGTTGTTAATTCCATCCTACGCGTTTCCTGATGAGTAAATTCTACTGGCATTCTTGGGACTCGTTCTCAACCAGCGTATCTTCTCATTTCTTGTAAAAAGACTAGGAATGTGCACGCTGGTGAGATTTCATTTGTTTATTTTGCAAATGAAATAGTTGTAACCTGCCCCACTCTCAAAAGACTCTGGGGCACCTACAACTTCAAACAAAACAATAATAAATCCAAATGACCACCATAAACAAAACAAGCACTAAGAAAAATTACGTATTAGCCCCACACTTGATCCGTTAATGACTTTTATTTTAATCGGACTGGTGTTGCTTTTATGGCGAGAAAGCGAAAAATTGCAAAGTAGAGCGCTGTACTGTATAAATAAAAAAAGGAATTTGCGTTATTTTAAATGTTACTCATACTGTAAACATTCTGCTTTAATATCAAAATAGTTTGGTCTGATGGACTCTGAAAAAAAAAAATCCAATACAGAATAACCGTATTTGTTCTACATCTATTATAAGCTGATGGAAAAAAAACCTCAAAGGAACCCAAAAAATAACAACATCCAGGGAAGGAATTGAATTCATTTCGCTGCGCTTTTAAACATCGTTTGTTCCCTTAAGACTCATTTCTTCAGTGACGTGGAAGTCAGCAAAGAATTAGTTCTAACCATGCTGCAGTCTCGTTTTATTACGAAAAATATTGCGGTAACGCACAGAAAAGGATGTGCAATCTCCATCTCAAAGGGAGGAATTCTACCCGGATCAATGCAGAAATGCAGAATACGTATGCAGAATAGGTTGAACCAGGAGACTATAGTACCGAAAGAAAACAGCCGGGCTACTTGAAAGATACATTTGGTTCCCTGTATTACACGCGGAGTACTCCAGTGCAGGAGGAAGGTGGAGCACTCACTACATTTCCCAAAGCGCTTTGCAACGTGGCTTTGTTCGCCTGCGCACTGGGCACCTTACCGTCTCGCCGGCCTGCAGGGAGCGTAGATCCTCAAGTTCGCCTTTTGCAGTTCGAATGTGAACAGATCAGGGTTTCAGAGCGCCCCCCCCTTGCCATCAGTGGCCATGATCGGTGAGTGAAACCCGGATGTAATCCTTCACATACACCCCCTTATTTTGTGCGGGGAGGGCGCGAGATGGCGGAAAGGAGAAGGGACAGTGAGGTTGTATGTTTGCTGCACAGTGCAGCTCTACCTTTTTGCACACGGATACGATTTCATGTCGGGTCATTTCGGATTTGGAAATCCCACGTTCATTTTATAGCTCAAAGGTTATCCCCCAGGCGCCCATTTGCGAACTTTCGAGGTATTCCGATATTTCCGAAGGCAAGATGAGAAGGAGAAAAAGAGGACAAGGGAAACCCACATTTAAGTGAAAGCAAGATCTAAAAGTCGTACGAAGGAATGTGGGAGGAGACTGTAGCTATTCAGATTAGCTTTTGCGTGACGTCGTATCATGTGGCACTGAGTTTTCCTAAAATGATCTAATCCACAACACATTGTATTGCACGGCTCCTTCCTTGGGACCTCTTGATTACAGCAAAAAGATCTAATAACACTAAACTTTGTTGAGAGCTTAATGGCTTTTGGGTCACCCGCCCTTTTTCAAAACTGTTGTCCTTTATTGTACTCTTTATAGCTTGTAAAAAAAAACAATCCATGGTCATGTGATCAAAATTAAATTGCTTGGCAACTGGCATGTGTTTATGGCAGTTGCAGTGTCCTGGGGTCATGTGGCCTTCGGACAAGCAAATCAACTGGGAAGCCACTTTCACTTGTGTTACTAAATTAACAACTGCAGTGATTTACTTAAGAACTGTGGCAAGAAAAATCATAAAATTGGGCATCATATAAGGACTTATATATAAGATGCTTACCATATACATTTTCTAAAAGAAACAAACCTAACAAAGAATTTCAGTACAATACTATTTGCAGTTCCTTATAAGTAGGTAACATTGTATTTGGTGATGTTTGCTTCCAATAAGAATGTACAGAATATTGAGCAAAGTAAGGGGTTCATGGGGTTGTTGGATACCAATGAGCTCACTGTTTAACTCTCCCAAGTAGATTTCTCCAGATAATTTCAACCAAATACTATTTTTAATGGTTCTTTTCAGTTATTTTGATTCCTTTTGTATCATTAAGAATATATTTTCTTTTTCTGCTTTATCTTCAGTGCTTTTTTTTTAAAAAAAATCCTTGATGTATTGTGTCAAGGTATTAATTTAATAGCTAAACAGCTTATGTAATGATGTAATGTAACATAAGTGGATGATGCGATGCTAGGAATGACTCAGCAGGAGTCTGTATCCCTTTAAGAGCCTGAGTATAAAAGGGAAGGCTTTGCTGGAGGTCTCTCCTTGTTTCCTGCTGGGTGTTGGAGTTTGCTGTATTACCATGTGTATGTATATTGTTCCTGGTGAATGATATTGTAGATAGTGTATGATAAACCACCATTTAATATAGACCACTGTTTACTGTATTTACTCCTGAGTTACCTCAGCGCAATAAGACTGCATGCTCTGACATATTGTCAATATATTTAAAGGTGTACTTTTGGACTGAATCATAGATTTGAGTTTAATCAGTGATTATGCTAAAGTGGACTGAAATATCTGAAAAGTATTCAATTCAGAGCAACTGTTGTCTGGCAATATTTATTTGCTTCTAAATTACAGTGCTACCTTGGTACTCAATTGCTTTTAAACTCATTGTATTTGGTACTCAATGCATTTTGATGTGAAAATTTTGTCCCGGTATTCATTGTTTGTTTGGTACTCAATGCACAAGCTAGAACTTGTTAGTGTTGGCTGCCTTTTACTCACTACATTATTCCTTATGGGAAAAATGTGTTTGGTATTCATCACACCTCCTGGAACCAATTAACGAGTACTGAGGTACCACTTTATTAGTGTAAACCCTGTGTAAATATCTCTCAAAGAAACTCTAAAAACCATGTTAGAAGTTAACATGGTTTTTTGCCATAGGGCTATAAGATCTGACTTACAATAGTCTGAACAACCAGTAGATGTCAGCAGGTAATTATTGTGGTTTGCCTCTCACTGATGCTGTCTGTTGCTCATCTGGATTTTTGAAGCATTGTTTTCTTTACAATACTATCTTGAAGTATCTTCCACAACTACTGTGGAAATATTACATGCTCTATATGGACTTTGTCAGTATAATGGCTGCCTTTATTTTTGTTTTTGCCACTACCTTTATTTTCAAGGGAATTTTAAGAAATCCGACTTTCAGAAAGTTTTATTTACATATATTGAAGTCTACATATTGAAATACAGACTTGCCAGCTGTTGCATTTTGTTTATTAAGTGTTACTTAAGTGTTATCCAGAATAGAAGTTTTTGCTTCCCTATGTATAGCACAGTGGAGAATCATAGACCATCCACAAACTTCTGTTAAGTGGGGTCATCACTACTTGTTCTGTTACAGTATAAATTAATCTAAATAATGCAAGTATCTCTGATTGAGGAGACAGTTCCTGGATAGGAAGTATCATTTTACCAAAAAAAAAAAAAAAAAACCTATGGAAAAATCCCAGATTCCAGCATGCAGCATAAGATCACTCATCAGATGACAGGCCAGGGAACTTCATATCTTCAGCCTTCTTGGAAACCATTGTGCTTTGTCAGCTATTATTTGCACATCTGTTTCCTCCATAAAGAGACTATCTCAAATGAGTGTTTTAGTCTGATAAGATGAACATTAAAAGCTGTTGCATGTTGTAGAACCCATTTATTCTAGATTATTTTTGAAAGTGTGAGAGATTGCTTAGTGTTTCTACATATAGGACCTCTCACGTGACAAAGAGCTCTCCTGGAGATGAATTAAAATATACATTGCAGATATTTCTGTCAAGCCCCACAAATTCCAATGCTATTGAATAAAGTGGTGGATACCAGTCAGTTTAGCCAAGAAAAGGAGGAACTGAAGAACTCAGATCCTATTTTATTTACCCACAATGCAAGATTAATAAAGCAGTTGTGGTTTGTCATGGTTTAAAGTTTAACATAATTGTGAATGTAACCAGCTGAACTTTATTCAACAAGCATGGCTTAGCAATGTAAGAATGAGGTACAGCCTCCATTTCTTGATGTAAACTTTGAATGGCATGTATCTTATCTAGCTGTATGTTTGTGTTTTGAAGCTTGCATTATTGCCAAAGTTAAGAGCAGAGTCTTAAGATAACAGTAGGCACACACAATCTGTTCCCCTGAATCTATGTGTACAAATTTCCCCTGCTCATCCCATCTTCTTTAACTTAAGATAAGGACTTATATTGCCACTAGTCTTAACCAAGAGATTCTCTAACCTCAACATTGAGTTTAGAAACACTGGGTTAAATCTCAGACCCTGCTCCTGATCATGGCCATTAACTTTGTGCTCTCTTCTTTTTGGGTTCTCTTGGATTTTAATATTCTAATAGACTGAAATAATTCAGGACACACTGCTTGCATTTCTCCTATTTCGTTGAGTTGACAGCCTCTATGGAATTAACTCGGTAAAAACAGATGCTCAAGATTTCAGAATAATTATATCACTAAAAGCTTCATTACTTGATTAGGGTAGCCTGGTGTTCACAATTTGATTTTCAATGGTCTTTCAAATTACTTGTAGTCTCAATAAAAAAAATGTCAGGATAAAATAAAGCAGTATTTATTGATCTATAGGTAAGACATTTTAAGACATTCAAGATATATCTAGCAAGCAAGCATACAGGTAGATCTTTAAGGTTTTTTAAAAAATTACATGACTGTATCTTCTCAACATTTCTTTTAGTTTTATGTATGCAATTACTCTTTCCTTATAAAGATTCTGTTGTGTTTTGGCCAGCCTAGCTGATCTCACTGTGTTCCTGTTGGAGGGAAAATAAACTGAAATATTAGGTGTTTTTGCTGCCTTGAATTGACTTGATAGACACACACACACAAACACACACACAGAGAATCCATGACCTGTTGAGTCATCATTTCACAGATATTCCTTACTTAAACAGAGAAACAGAATGATAATGGGCAGGTGAAAAAGCAGTGGAAAAAGCAACTTCTGACTTTCTACTGGCTTCCCCATTGATTTTCTTTGCATGAAACTGGCAGAGAGCATTGGAAATGATTATGTGACCATTGCTGTCTATTATGATACAACAGCACTGAAACAGCCACAACTTTGCCAGATTTCAATCCCATGAGAATGATAGGTTACAGATTTTGGACAAATTGTGTAAGTTAGTTGAGTTGAAGTACATTAATTAAAAAATTTACTTTTAGGATACATCATTTTGCCAACTGAAGGCTGCAAACAAAGAAACATGAAAGTGTGTATGTATGTATCATTACTATATCATCATTATTATATCATTATTTAGTGTAGGTCTTCCATTTGCAAAAAATCTCTTTTGCAGAATTAGAAAGTACAGTTTTCCTGAACACTGACTCATCCTCCTATGATCTGCTGCAGAGGTATCAGCATTAGTTTTATTCCTCATTCCTTCTATGTATTAAGTGAAGCTGCTGTATAGGAATGGCTACACTTTGCAAAGGATGCTTAGTTTTGTTTGTCTCTCCTATGGAAAGCTGCTATTCATCCTATGCCTTCTGGCTACACTGAAGTACTAAAAGTAATAAAAATAATAGCCGTAAGCCAAAATCATTTTGTTTTTGCTATCTTGTCTCCAGAATCCTACTTTACTTTGTTGCTGTTTTCATGAAGTTAATTTATTTTATTTTTTAAAAACATTGATATTTTGAAGGCCCCAGAAAACATTTTATAATTACCTACTTTATAATGAAGTATTTTAAAAGCTGTAGGAATCACAAGGGAATTTTAACATTATTAGAAATCAGACACCTGAATCCCATCAAACCCAAGATACAACATTGGAGTCGGGGATGACATTAAATAACTAGCCAAATAATAAAAGCCATCCATAACAACAACAACAACAACAACAACAATAATAATAATTGGAGCACCACTTGACATTGACATTGACAAATTCGCCATTTGTCAATTGCAAAAGGCGGCCTTACTAGGAACTGCTTCCATCCTGCGACGATATGTGTAATACCATCAAACATCCACATCTGCCTATCCCAGGTCCTTGGTAAGGATTCGATAGGTAGACAAAAATGTCAGATCCAATCTGAACATCTGGCTGACTGTGTGATGATTAATAATAATGATGATGATGATGATGATGGAAGGACCTTAAGGTCATCTACTCCAACCCCCTGCTCAGGCAGGAAACCCTATACCATTTCAGACAAATGGCTGTCCAGTCTCTTCTTAAAAATTTCCAAGGAAGGAGCATTCACAGCTTCTGGAGGCAGGTTGTTCTACTGATTAATTGTTCTAACTGTCAGAAAATTTTTCCTTAGTTCTAGGTTGCTTCTCTCTTTGGTTAGTTACCATCCGTTGCTTCTTGTCCTGTCTTCAAGTGCTTTGAAGAATAGTCTGACTCCCTCTTGACTCCTCCCTCCCTCTGTAAATATGACATTTACAGATTTGTGTTTTAATTATTATAAAGATTAGAAAAGAATCCATGTGGTTAGTGTAGGTGCCACTGTTTTTAACATGAGCTGAGCACTGTTGCTTTTTGTTTAAAAATCAAGATTTGAATTTATTATTAATTATTGACTTTTCAAGTTTTATTGCCAAGTTTAAAACTTGTTTCTTGGTACCTTGCAAAATAAATGGCATTACTTATTCTTTGGCACTGCTACTCTGGCCATTTGGCCATCCCAATATCCTGGCTGTTTGATAACAAGAAGACTTACTTAAAATGAAAGATCTGAGCTTTGACAATATTGATAGACTGGAAAGTTTACTGCAGGAGCTTGCCCAGCTGGGTAAACTCCTAGAGCTCTTCCAGATGGTAATATAGATTCATCAGTGATGACATCCTTATGCGTTTCCATGACAAAGCCAGCAGGCACTTGGAATTGCTTGTTCAAAAGTGTATGACTAAAGTGGAAGAAAGCCAGGGCCTTCACATATATTCAGTGAGAATGCTGTGGAATTATATGGGGATCATCTCATTTTGTTACTGGATCTAAATGCATGCCTGGAAGAACCATTGGCATAAGACTTGGTGTTTTTGGCATCAGAAATTGGAAAAAAACAAGTGATGTTTTTTGATAACTCTGGATTTAACAAACTTTCAGAAAACTTCAGATTCCTTGATGGCTGGAACTGTAGAAACTACAAATAGTCCTTGACTTATGATAATTCAGTCAGCAACTGTTCTAAGTTAAACGATGGCACTGAATGAATGGTGGTTATAACTGGTCATTAGATACTAGCCCTCCCAGCACTTCCACAGTCACATGATCATAGTCTGGGTGCATGGCAAACCATTTGCACTTAGGATCAATTACCAAGTTCCCCTTGATCACAGGATCATCATTTACAACCTTCCTCTGGTTTGCCCTGAAAGTCAGTGGGGAAGCTGGAAGAGAATGTTGCAAGTTGTTGGTTAAGTCTCCCTCACCCATGCACCATCCCCATTACAGTTATAATATAGCAGCATTTATTGGGGGAGTTTACCAAAGATTTTGATGCCACTGGTTTTCTGTTCATTAGGAGATTATCCGGAGTAGAGTTTGAATGCTTCTAGTCCTGAGTTGAAGAATAAGAAGCAAATTTGGAATGGAATGAAATGGAATGGAATAGACCTTGGAGGTCTTCTAGTCCAGCCCCCTGCTCAAGCAGGAGAACCTGTCCTATATGGCCTCTTTCTTTATATGGATACATCTGGATTCATGGAATAAAATACAATATTTTACTTAGCCCAGATAGGGTTTAAACATAGCATAAAGCATTCTATTGTTGCTGAATGTTTTTGACACCCAGCATGGTGCAGAAAAATTTCTGCTTGTGAATAGGATATCTCTGTTCTCTCACCTTCCTTACTCCCTTACTTGCGTGTACCAGTAATGTGCTTGGAATATTATCACTATTCTTGAGAGCAACTTTTGGGAAAACAGTAACAATGACAAGAGGAAAACAAATAGGATGTAGTGTCTTAAAGAACAAGTACCATTTCAACCTTTGTTTTTAGTTGGTTCTTTCTGTTTTTGGCTCTGCCTTCCACTTTAATCCATTGAAATAGCAGTTGAAGCTAAAAAAGATCCCTCTGTCCCCAGTACTTCTAATTGTTTTCTGTAGAATTATCTTATTGGGAGAAAATATTCCATCTGCTCCATTCCTTAATATAGCAAAACTTCTAAGTGAACTGTGTGACAAAGCTTGGCTGAGTTCCATAGCATGTGGTTTCTGGCCTCAAGCAAGATGAACACAATCTGTTTTCTCTACATTTAATAAAGGAAGAGATGGGTTCTTTCATTTGGCAAATGTGAAACTTGATTTGGTGATGCTTTTGTTTTATGCCTGTTATCTTTATACTAGTAGCTTCCTGCTGCCCATCCATTTTTTCAGTCATTCAGATATATTTATATTTTCAGTCATTCAGATATATTTATATTTTGTATTTCTAGATTACAGATCTCCCTCAAGGATATATAAGATCCAACAATAGAATTCTACTTCCAATAATGTTTTCCAAAAACATTTTAGATCTTTGCCTACTTGACTTTAATTATGCACCTGAAATTTGCAAATAGCACTTTAAAAACTTTTCATGGTCCTTTCCAATAGCACACCTGTTTTTCCTGCTATGTAATAGTATTTAAAAACATTCCTGTGTATAGAGTTCGGCTTTCCAAAACAGAAAAGTTCCCATTTTAAAAACGTTATATTGCACACAATATATATGAAACCAGTTTTAACCATGGCACAATGTCATTTATATTGATGAAGTTATCTCTTTTACTTGGCTGTGTGTCTATGCGTTTAAAAAATTACAATATTAAAAAATTAAGGTTTAAAAACCAAAATGACACTGTATTGCACTGACACTGCAACATTCATTTGTTTGGGTTAAATGCTAGTTAAAATGGTTTTCTTGGATAAGTTTATTTTAAGAGGCATCTGTCTCCCTAGGCTCTATATAAAAAAAGAATTCCAAGAACTCCCAGCCTGTGTTTTAACCTTGGTTTTAGCTTTTTGAAAGTTCTGTCAGAAACCTATAAGATTTCATTATTTGATAGGGAATTCTGTTAGGTAGCAAAGTCTGAAGGCATAAATCTAGATAGCTGAATGGATTGGTGCCACATCCAAGAAACCACATTATGGCGTAGTTTGCTAAGTGAACACAACTTAACCAGAGTTAAAACATATCATGCCTAAACTTGATGTCTGCAGGAGAGCCTTTTATGTTCTGCCAAGCTTAATCTCCATTCTAGGTTAACACTGTCAAAAATAAAGTAATGTAAGGGAATTACTTTTGTTCCTTTGAGAGGGCAGAACCAGTATATTTTGCCAGCCTCTTTTTGTAGCCATTCAGATATTGGTAGCAATCGGTATGAAAGGTTGAGTCATGGGCTGCCAACTTTTCACTCTTTACAGTTATGATGGATATATCCTGAAGATTTTCTCAGTTTTTCTTATTGAGACCCTATCAGTTATAAGAATATGTTAAGTCATACAACAAAAGTGAAGTAGCCATTTTGTAGATGGTGAATGCAGTGAATGCTATTTACTTGGATTGGTTTCAACTTATTTCTTGGCAAATTGGAATTCTTTGGGAAAAAGTGAAGGGTACCAATGCTTTTAGCCAAGTCCATATATTGCTATATTGTTAGTATCTCCTGTGCTTCTCTTCTCATATTTTGGGATGTTATCGCTCTTTTAAGTATGTTTTCCCTCCCCCACTCCCAAAGCCAGTATACTAATTGAAAAGAATGTGCTGAGGATAATAGTTCAGGTGGAAGAAGAAAAAAATATGAGAAAAGCTTTGATATTCTGAAGTGTTTCAAAAAAAGATAAAAGAAAAAAAAGTGAGATCATAAAGGCTACTGGCCTAAATGAGGCAATCTTACAGACTCTAAGAAGAAATGCTCAGAAAAATAGCAAGAATAAGCAAAAATGCTACAAAATCTATTAGAACAAAACAGAAAGAATTGGAAGAGATGGAATATTTATTAGGTGTTTAGATGTAAGATCAGGCCAAGAAGAGTCGGTGGCACATTCTTTAAAAGTAAAAGAGAAGTTCACAGGAAAAAAAATAAAAACTTGATGTAGTGCCTCCATCAACTGTGTAACTTCTTTATTAGGATAATGTATTTGCTTGAAAACACATTTGTAACTAAAACATTGCCATTTCTAACCCTATTCTTTCCACAAACCCTGGTATTTATATTGAATGATTTTGTGAAGCATAAGCTCAGGGTTCTTTAAACTTGGCCCTTTTATGACTTGTGGACTTCAACTCCCAGAATTCCTCAGCCAGCCATGCTGACTGAGGAATTCTGGGAGTTGAAGTCCACAAGTCATAAAAGGCCAAGTTTGAAGACCCCTGCCCAAGCTGTTGTTCTTCAGGAGACCTGATTGTACGATCAGAGCTAGTTAGTATTTGTATTGGGAATTATCAGGATATTCCAGGCTGGACAGTTGAAAAACAAAAATAAATGCAATATATAATATTTTGTAAATAATTTACAAAACAGAAAATAAAGCACTTCCTGTTTGTTCCCAAGACAATGAAACTGATGTTTCCATGCAGTCCCCTAAGAGTTGAACTTGACCTAAAGAATCTTTGTAATATTTTTAGTCACAGCAGCTAAAGCCTTCTCACATTCTCTCCAAATCCATAGCACTCACTGTCTTCTTTCTTGCTAGGTCAGTATTACGTGGCTGTGCATCTGCTTTGGACATCAGTAGGCTGACACTTGTATTTGGAACAGGAAAGTCTATTTTCATAATGAAGTCTTGCTGTTCTCAATAAAAACAGAATTAGATAAAAAGAATGAGAGAGCAATAGTTATTTGTATTGTCCCTCATAATAAGAGGTCTTAACAACTTGTGTCACCATTTCTCAACATGCATATTAAGCTTATATTGTTAGTTTTTATTTTATTTGACCAATCCTGGCAATAGCTCTGTTTATATTGTCCATTCTCCTGACATAGAGTAAGAAAGCAAACTGGTGCGAAAATAGTATTAAATGAGACTGCAGAATTAGGCATTTAGGTTAGCTAATACAAAGCTTTTGAAATATTAATTTCTAGATAGGAATGTGAAGCAAGTATAGGAGGATAAAGTGTATTCTCAGTAGAGAAATTTAATTTCCTCTGCCATTTGCACAGATGTAACAGAAGAGGAAACACTAAGATGTAAAAATATTTGTTTCATTTTAAATTAAACTGGTATACATATTGAGTTACTGCACATCATTACTTGAAAATGAAGATGCTTTAAGTTCCACGCAATTATATCAAGATTTTGTGCTTTGTGTTTTTCTTAAAGTAGTAATAATATTGCCACATTACTTTTTCTCAATAATTTATATATTACAATAAATGCCAATCTTAATTTGCACTTGCCTCAAAAAATGTAAGTAAATAGCATGATCTGCATATTTTAGTTACATATTAGATTCAAGTATACATACCATTTTTGTGTTCAGCTATCCATTCAAGATGTCAATGTAAACATACCTTCACAAATCAGTCTGTGCTATCTGGAACAGGGATGTCAACTGCTGTATTCTGAAGGGGTGTCTTCTTCCCTAGAAGCTTCTGGGTTCTTCTTTAGAAATGAACAAACATCTTTCCCTCTGCTCTTGTTTCATAATAATGTTGAAGATACTCAGTGCTTTTTTTCTAAAAAAAAAAAAAAAGTGCTGGAACTCACACATGTCATACAACCCACCTTGCCTACCCTACAAGGTTCCATCCAAAAAAGGTGCCGGAACTCCATTCTGGGTGTTCCATGAGAAAAAAAGCCCCGAAGATACTGAACATGGAGACATTCCCCCTTATAACATCTATGATTTGCTTTGCAAGGGACCATAGTCTTTCATGAAATTTGGAAAATAGATTGTACAATTTAGAATCCATTGGATTTGGGCAGCTAATACATTCAAATAAACAGCAAAGAATAACTTACAAAATGTTTCAAAGTCAAACTTAGAAAAGGAAGATAGCCTAAGCTTATAAGAAAAAATAAAATAAAAATTCTATTTGCAAAGAGAGCATGAGCATGAGCAGGATTAAACTTTTTTTTTCTTGGGGGTGGGTTTGCTAGAACTGCTGCTCATTTGAAACTATGAGACTGTTTATAATCACCAGAATGAGTCTTTGAAATCTGGTCTGATCACATCTTGCAAGGCTAGTGAATATGAGGAAGACATTTGATACAGAAGAGAAGGCAGATTGCTCTTAAAGTGTGCATTCTGTTAAAATGAATGTCTGAACTGTGATTATTGCAGTGTGGCAGGCAGACAACTGTGTAATACATTTTCAAATGATTAGGGAAGGAGAAGGGTACAGTAAATAAACACACACACACACACACATATCATATATCATATAGCATAGATTTTCTTGTAAATTTTGTTCTCCGGCAATTTTTAATGCTTCATCTCTGCAGCTTCTGATAAAGGTTGCCAAATATTATTTTGAAAATAAGCAACTGCTTGTGCATGACAGAGGCAAAACAGGATATATCTACCATGTCCTTCTGTTGCTAGATGTCTGTCCCCTAGCATATTTTTAGAGAGCTATGTTTCAAAATGATAGGAACTGAAGATGCTTCTATTGCAAAATAGGGTAAGTAATTTCATATCTACTTTTACAATTTGAATAATGCTAGCAATCCTGAAGCTTTAAAGTGTTTTTGCAAAGCATGAACATGTAGTTGTTTCTATTTTAAAGCAGTATTTTAAGTGGTATAATACTTAAAAGTTCCTGTCCCATGTGCATAACCCTTCTCCTCCACCAATCTTCGTGCCATGATTTTGGTTAATATGGTAAAATGTTGTAATTTTGTTTTCCTTAAAGTTATCGTATGTTAATATATTCCCTTGAACTCACTTTTAAACTTGTTTAAAGTAGTAAATATTCTCTGTAATCCAGTGAATAGTCTGCTCTTGAGAAATGACAAGTGATATTGATTTTTGTTGCTTTCTATTATTCCCAGAAGCATAGCAACTATAAAATGTTTTCGGTTCCTCATTTCTTTCTATAGATTATGGTGCTTTACATTGTAGATTGCCGATCTGGACAAGATTGATTAGTATTGATGCTTGTCAGGGTTTGACTTAAAAGCACTGGAGATGGGCATTGTACCAAAACCGTCAGATCGAACACCAATCAGGACTGCTTATGTTAGCTGGCTTTCTTTAAATTGTTGCTTTAAATACAATACCAAATCAGACTAACGTGTGTTAGATCCAGGCATAGAAGCACCTCTTTTTTTATTTCTTGGCTATCTTTCCATTGTAATTTGCTCCCATCTCTTTTCTCTGAAATACTTGATTCTGGAGTTGGTAGTTTGCTGATAAATAATGTCAGCAAACTGAAGACCAGCAATTTCAGTTTATTGTCAGCTTGGCCGCAAATGCAATTAAACAGAATTGTCAACATTCCATTATATATCATTTCTGTGAATTTATGCATGTTTCCCTGGGATTAAGCCCTGCTAAACATTGTGGATTTATTTTTGAATAAACATAGAATTGGCTTGCATATTTTGTATGCTTGTATTAAATGTGAGGCCAGCACCATAATGGTTCCCTTCCCATCTGCTCTTTCTGTTCATAGAATCTTAGAAATGTGAACTGGAAGAGACCACATGGATCAATTAGTCCAACCAATTAAAATGATTTTGATATTAATTAAACTGTTTTTGAGATTTCCATTTTGAGATTTTCTTCTTCTTAAAAAGCTTCAGAGGTAGAGAATCCACAATGACAATTGGTAGACTCTTCCACTATATTCAAATTTGATTGTCAAGCTTTTCCTTATATTTTAACAAAATTTGAATAACTGAAATTTATCCCTATTATTTCTTGTCCTAATTTCAGAGGCAATGGAAATAATACTTGACCATTTCCCCCATGGATCGTTTTTATGGTACCTGAAAACTGATATGTCTTCCCTCTGTCTTTTCTCTAGGTTTAACATTCTAAGTTACTGTGGTTTGTTCTTGTAGGGCATGTCTTCAAGACCCTGTATCATTTTTGTCACCCTTTTCTGTTCGAATGTTTCAACATCCTTCTGAGGGCAAGAGTCATACACAGTACTCCAGATGTATTTTCATCAGTGCAGAATAGAGGGGAATAAAGACTTCATGTGTCTTTGATACAGTGCTTCTTATGTACTGTAGAATTCCATATCTTCTTCCCTGAATGTAATGCCTTAAATTTCTCCCTGTGGAAGGACATTTTAATGATACTAACTGAGTCTCCCAACCTGTCCAGACTAGATTGCATTCTTTCATATGGGATGGCATCCAGACCTTTAGATATTGTATCAGCTGCTAATTTTATAAACATTCCATCAATCTTATTATCCAAGTATGGAGATGGCTTTGAGAGAGATGAGAACCGTTACCAAAAAGATGAGAAGGAAAGCATAGCTTAAGTCTGGGAATGTAGAAAGTGTGTGCAAACACCTCAGATACCTCCCTAAAGCACGAGACTAGGAAAGAGAAGAGGGAGCACAATCAGACTTCCAAGATTATGTTATCACAGTCACTTCAAATAAAAGTTGTTTTTAGTCTTCCAGCAGTTATTTCTTGGTCAAATTTGCCTCATGAGACTGACATCACATCATTAACAAAATTTCAAATAGTAAGATATAGAAACCCTATGGACACTAATGCACTCAGGTTCTGTTTCAGGTTGCAGACACACATGCACAAACACAGTTGCTATGGAGTTAAGCAGATAACAATAGACAAGAACATAAATCAGGGTCTGTGCAAAGAGGCTTTGCCTGAACAAACCCATTTGAAGTTTAAGCAGCAACAGAATGGTCCATATTCATTCCAGACACCATTCCAGTTGCCTAGTCAGCCAGTCCAAGAGTCAAGGATTCAAGAGTACATAATCACATAAACAAGAGCCAGTAAACTAAGTCTCCAACAAAGACTGAACCCAAAAGCAGCTATATAAATCCATCTGCAAGCAGCTGACTATAATTACTCAGATCTCATCCTTTGCTTAGTGAGGAGACAGATTGACTAGTGTTTCCCTGCTCACCTCTGTGTGCATTGAGACCTGGGGCTTAAGGATTGTGTCTCATTGTCCAACTGCTGCCACTGATGCTTGTGATTTCTCAGCTTCCTCCAAGGAATCATAGCTTGAAGATTCCAGAGGCTGACAATCCACAGATTCAACTGGACCAGTGTTCTCAGAATTTAGAGCGAGACTCGAATCTGAATCCTGTCCCATGACATAGTGGGGACTGTAGTGCCATCCAATCCACATTTCAACAGCTTGTCAGAAAGAATGTAATGTGAAATCTTTGATGAAATCAAGGTGAGTTATATCCATAGCATTCCCCTTGTCTTTTAAAGAAGATGTCTAAAAAAGACAGGAGAATTGTCTCACATGGCTCATTTTTTAAAAAAGCCATGCTGAACCTTAGCAATCATGACATTGTCTTTAAGATGCTTACAGATGGCCTGATTTATTATCTGCTCTCTTGGTATTGATTTTAGGCTCACTGCTCAGTAATTACTGGGATCCCTTTTTCCCTCCTTTCTTGAAGAGGAAGCTGTGTCTACTTCTCCAATTTTCTGGCCCTCTCTACTTCCCCAGAATTCCTCAATAGATCTCAAGAGCTTTTCAGATAATTCTTTAATTCTAGGACACATTTCATCAGGGACTGTGAATTTGAAGATCCTTAGCTAGAAATTCCTTTATCATATCATTTCTGACTTCCCCCTGTTGTGTTCCTTCCGTCTGTGTTATTCATTTGCCTTTAGATATAAAGAAAGAGAAAAAGTAAGAGTTGAGGTTTTCTGTGCTTGCTTGGTTATCTATTAAGATTTCTCAGTTTGGATTAAAGTAGCAAGTCGATTGTCTCCTTTTTTTGTCCTTTTATTGGGAAAGAAATTGAAGAAATCCATGCTACATTTTGTCATCGTTATTTTCCTCTTTATTTTTCTGACCCTGTTTTTCTGATAGTAAATTAAAGGTGGCCATTTTAATGTCAGTTTCAAAGACTGTGATTTCACCCTTAAAAATGAATCTCTTAAATGTTTTAGGAAAAATTGAGTTTACTATGCTCATGGGTTATAGGTCTTTTCTTTATTTTAACTTTTTAAATTTAATAAAAAATAATGGGAACACTAATATTCTGTGGTTCATCCATATGATTATTTAACTAATAAGCTTTAAACATTTCCCCCCCAAAAGTCAGAGTCCAAAATGGGGCAAAAGCAATCCAGGCTCAATTAAAATAATATGGGATTTGTTAGATCCTATGCAATTTCCATTATAAAATGATTCCTCTAGAACAGGGGTAGGCAACCCAAAACACTCGAAGAGCCACTTGGACCCGTTTCCCACCAAAAACAAAACACAGGGAGCCGCAAAACCATTTTGATATCTAAAATGAAGATAACACTGCATATATCCTTTTTTACCTTTATTATAGGTGTGTGTGTGTGTGTGTGTGTGTGTGTGTGTGTACACATACACACACACATTAAAAATAAAAGTAAAAATATGACTCTTGGGAATATCCATACTATTAAAACAATGATAAAGAGACTGCTTTAAGAGAATAAAATTACATACATACACAGGTAAAAAAAGGATATATGCAGTGTTATCTTCATTTTAGATGTCAAAAGGGTCTCTCTCTCTCTCTGTTTCTCTCCCTCCCTCCCTCTCTATCTGCCCTTGGTCTGCCACTCCTCTTCCCCCCCTCTCTCTCCCTCCCTCCCCCCCTCTCTCTCTTTCACTCTCTCTCTTTCTCCCCCCCTCCTATCTGCTGCTCACCTGGCAAGCTTCAAGCTGTTCTCCAACAAGCTGGGGGTAGGCAACCTCGTCTCTTTTATGACTCATGGACTTCAACTCCCAGAATTCCTGAGTCAGCCTAGCTGGGTTAGCTAGCTCTCTCCTGCCCTTCCTGCTTCCTGCAGAGACGCAGCAAAGGGAGGAGCTCCGCCCAGAAAGCTTTTCAGCTCCTCAGAGAACACTGTGAGTGCACTCTCTTTTACACACACAGACACACACACACACACACAGAGAGAGAGAGAGAGAGAGAGAGAGAGAGAGAGAGAGAGAGAAGCAGGGAAGCGCAATTGCCTCTCTCTGTCTCTGTCTCTCTCTACAAAGGCAGAGGAGGCTGGGAGCCACAGGGGAAGGCTCAAAGAGCCGCAGGTTGCCGACCTGTGCTCTAGAAATATTTGTTTAACTTATATGTCACCTATTTCACCTGGAGTGACACTAGGCAGCTTACAATAATTAAAAACTAATGAAAAACAATGAAAAAATTACAAATTTCAACTTTACCAAACTATGGTTTCTTATTAAACTGGAGTGGGATACTAATTAGGGTGGCACAGGGTCAGTTTTGGATCTTCAGCCCTTCAAAACCTGCATGAATCAATGGAAAAAAGCACATCACTTTGTAGTGAATAGATGCCAGGTAGAATATTTTGCCCCAAAAGGCACAGCATTTACAATATTTTTGATAAGTTAAAGAAGTAGGCTGCAAATAATAGTAGAATGAAGGGCTAGGTTCTTCACTGAGGAGAAATGGGACTGCTATAGAATATAAGAAAAATGACATGGCAATAGTATTTACAAAAACTATCTAGGAATTGTAATCTCTGAGGTGATTCTGAACGAGCTATAAAATAGGCTAATACCACTTTAAACTCCATCTATGGAAGAATAGGTTCCAAATTATTAACTGGCATTGGTTGCTTCTAGACTGCATATTTTGCCTAGTTCTGGACATCATATTCCAGGAATAATTGATGTAAAATGAAACAGGTTTGGAAAAGGTTAACAAGGGTGATCATGGGACTCGTAAGCTAAGTGCTACAGGGAAACATTGAGGAGCTTGATACACTTGGGCCAGAGAAGAGAAAATTAACAGCACTCTGTGATTGCACTCTTCAACTATGTTACTTGAACATGTATTACAGAGAAAGCTTTTCTGTCATCTCAAGAGTAAGAAAAGATATGGATTTAAATTACTAAAAGACAGTTGCCAACTGAAAGTTGGGGAACTCTTTTTAAGTTCCCCAACTTTAAGAAATTTGATTGTGGAACCAGTTACTAGGATGTTAGTTGTCTTTTTGTCTGTGATTATGTTCAAGCAGGCTCTGGACAGATTGCTGTTAGGAAGGTAACGTTTAGATTTCTACACTCAACTAGGTGGTTGGATTCAGATCCAAATGGATTCTTCTAACAATAATCTTGTGATACTATTAATAGTGATATATTTATCATTGGAGAATAAAACATACAAAGAACGGTTGCAAGAATTGGGTTAATAAAAAAAGGACGTGAGGGCAGGACGAGAAACAATGGGTGGAAACTAACCAAAGAGAGAAGCAACCTAGAATTAAGGAGAAATTTTCTGAGAACAATTAATCAGTGGAACAATCTGCCTCTAGAAGCTGTGAATGCTCCAACACTGGAAGTTTTTAAGAAGAGACTGGACAGCCATTTATATGAAATGGTATAGGGTTTCCTGCCTGAGCAGAGGGTTTGACTAGATGACCTCCAAGAACCCTTCCAACTTTATTTTTATTTATTTATTTATTATCATCATCATCATCATCATCTTTTATTCATTACACATGAACCTCAGTCAAGTTGTCTGGTGCTGATGGTTGACACGGGTTGCTACCAGCATCCTAGGTGTCAACCAGGTATCTCCTTAAAATATATTATTTTTAAAATAATAATAATAATAATAGGTCTTCTGAAGAGAGTTTGGATTTTAAGTGTACAAAAACATTAGACATTATAAATCTAGTAGGCAGACACACTGGTGTGCATCCAGATGCATCTCTTATTTGTAACCAGTTTTGCTTAGTACAGCTGGCTCATTAGTTTTCTTATTATATTCAGGCCTGGCACTGAAGGAGAGAAAAAAAATATGCTGATTGCCTTACTTAGTTTGGTCAGTAAAGAACTTGCCTGCAGTTCCTCCTGTTTTATTAATATTTTTTATTTGTTGCATTTCCCTCCCACCGCCCTCTCCCCTGCTTTTCAAACTGTGATTTCTCCCTGAGCAACTTGCATTAATTAAAAGACCTAAGGGATAAGAAGCAGAAGAAAAAGAAAGAGGGAGGTCAGTTCTTCAAGGCCATAATAGAGTGAATACTGAGATGGCATTTATATGCAGGTCAAATTAAGCTGACCTTCCCTGCCCAGAGCTCTAGTTTGTATAATGCCCTCTCTCAAGTATTTCCTGGTACTGATGGATGGGGCCAGCATTGACATGGATGCAGTCAGAATGATGTGTTGTTCTTACACACTCTGGCCCAAGGGTGCCTGTGAGGCTATAAGGGGGAACTTGCATACTTGTGTCACTCATTAAGACATAAGTATAAGGCTGTGGCATTTGCATGGTGATATCACCATGGATTGCTGTGGATGCTTCTGTTCTTGTCCTTTGACCAAGGTTGGTTGAAGCTGAGCGTTTTGTATAGCAAATTCCCTCAGCAACCCCAAGGCCAATGAGAGGCTCAATTTCTAAAATAATAGCCTCATGTTTGGTTTGACCCAGATGTCCACTTCTCTAATTTGGGACCGTCAGAGTTTTCCTAATGTGCTGGCTAACATTATTTGCAGATGCAAATGCAGATCCCCATTATTTTGCATGTTTCAGGCGTTCAGAATAAGCTCCAAATTTATGACTACTGGCTAGGATTTCTTGCTCATTGTCTGCACTATTAATCAGGTCTATTTATTCTCTCCTCTGTGGGAGATCTGAGTTTGGTTTGAAGCTGCCTCAGCCTGGAGAATAATGATTTGTATCTTAATAAACATTTCCAAAGCTACCCCAGTGGACAAGTAATTAGTCCTTCACCAGAAGCACATTCATCTGTGTGTATACTTTGGGTAATGCCCTTATTCCACTTCTCTTCCCAGTATCTTCTACGGCGCTGAAATGTACTATATTTCTGGTGATTCCAGACTATTCCAGAATGTTGCTAAGATGCAGATGGAGTGGGAATCACTGCACAAGCAAGTTTTACTAACGGACTAACATCATGTAATACAACTCGTTAGCTGTATGATTATTTTAGACTCCAAATTTATTTTCAGTTCAGCTATAGAGAGGCCTGATCATAAAATAGGCCAAAGGCATTTCTCACCTTATTTTAGTAATTTGGAGGAGAAAACTACATCACTGCCTTTTCTTTTCTTTTTGAAAGGCCACAAGGATTATAGTTAGTAGGGCATTTGCTTTGCCAAATAAAACATAGCTGTGTTCTATTTCTTGGAATATTG